TCATCCTCAGCTCAGTTAGAGGCCAAGAGTCTGGTCTGAGTTATGGAGGAATTTAAACTAATGCTGCTACTTTCTGAGGGAACAGTTCCTAGGAGCTGTCAGCCAGGACAGGGTCTCTATAAGGTTTGTCAAAGCATTAACTAAAACCATCCATAACCTGAGTTGAAAAACTAGCTGAATTGATTTCATTTATAAAATTATTAACATCAGAAATAAAAAAAGGCCAAAGTGGTGCATCCCCCTCCTGCCTGGAAAGATAGGCTATTCCTTACTATATATTGTCTGTTTCTTTATCCAGTCTAGTTTTAAATGTCCCAAGTTATGAAGTTTCCATTGCTGCCCTCAGGAGACTCTTCCTTAGTGGAACAGATTTTACTGTTAAATTGCAAATCATCTTGAGTTTGGAAACCCACGTTATCATTTAAATTCTTACAAGAAAGCATGTGTAAAAAATAAACAATTGTTCTCTACAGTTCAGTATGCATGTAGGATGGCAGAATTTTTTTTTTATTTCATCATCGTGTGTGCAAGAATTTTCATCATGTCACATAAATGAGGAAGAAATAGAGCTTTCAGAAGCAATGAAAATGAATTAGGGCCTGATTGGAACCATATTGAATTCCATGGATAGATTCCCATTGACTTCAGTTTCCTTTGGATCTAGCTCTAGACGGATAATGATACTTAATTCAGGACGAGTGTGAGATTACCAATGTCCACAGGCAATGCATGCCATTTTAACCAAGTCTTAGTTCACTAGAGCACAGAGGTCTAGAAGACAGTGATTGGTAACAGGACTGTCATTCTGTGCCCTTTTCATTTTGTTGCCTCAGGAATACTGTAATCTTTCTTACTGCTTGCATCCTTCCAGCTTTCTTAATCCATATTGGATAGTCCAAAGGCAGTTTTTTTAAAGGCTCAAATTTTTGTGCCGCTGCTGCCAACTTTTTAATATATTATAGTTTTATAGTTATGTTTCCATATATCTTTCCATTTTTTGTAGTGAGTGACCTGGAGAGAAGAGAGGAGGGTATGTACATTGATAATGGCATCGACCTGAAACTGATGTGGGGAGTACACAGTAAACCCCAGAGACTGGCATCCTTGACTATGCCTGTGAAAGGTGAAAGCTCCTGAGGACCACAGCAGTTGCAGAAGGGGAAACCCCTGCCTGTGAAATGAGTGACACCTAGTTCATGGGAATGTCGGCAGAGATGTTTGTAAAATACTTTTTAAGCATTGGCTGAAAGGCACAGTACTTAAATGATCTAGGATTACAACGTTTTCAGTAAGTTCAGGATTCAATCTATTTTTATTTACACCTGCAAATATTTCTGGGCTCCAATTATTATCCATCTTTTCCCCCAAGTGTTACCCAAAACACAAGTTGAGATTTTCAAAACTCCTAAAAATAAGCAGGAACTATGTGCCCAAAACCTTGAGTTGATTCTGAAACACTTGATCCTTGAAGTTATCGTATTTAAGCAATTTTAAAGTGAAATTGGTAAATATTTCAAAACAAATGCTGCCATTAAGCATATTGAAGTCAAGGAAAACATTCTGTCTTATTTCAGTGAGCGTAAGATCAGGTTCTTTTGCAGTACTTGAGTTTGAAACGCGTTGCTTCTATTTAACTCAATACAAGGGCAATTTTTATTATACTTATAGCTTTGTCAATGTAGAGATACTTTAAATACTTGTCTTGGGAGCATCTCAAAGGTATTGCAAACAAGTATTGTGCATTGGATCTTACAACCTCCATTAATAGGCATCATCTCCACTTTGCAGATGTGGAAACTAAGGTACAGGGTGCTTCAGTGACTTATTTCAGTGACATGCTAAATTTGTGGAAAAGCTAAAATAAAATATGCAGTTGTCTACTCTGAGAGCTGTGGGGCTCAACTTGTTCATGAGTAATTTTTAGTGGAAGAATAAATGAGGCCCATAAGAATTTGGTCCATATATTGATATTACAGAACAAATAATATATTTATAGAAATTTTAGTCACATAATCTAAATAGCCCTGGGGTGAGGGGTCTCGCCAGAAGCAAAGACCTTTGCTTTCCCCTTTTAGTAAAGAGATGTTGTAGATCAATCAAAATGACTCATCATAGAGTTTCTATAATTATGGAAGTGTACTCTCCAAATCAATAAAGCTGAACTCATCTGATTTCTTACTGGTGTAAAATAAACTTTAATTTGTGATATGATCCTATGTTCCCTGTGCTGAAATTTTATCAAATATTAATATTAGATACCCAGAAATGCAGCAGCAGTTTCTATTTTCTAATGGACAGAAAGGGGACTCCTGATGCTTAAAATGGGAGACAGTAGACAGGGCACTACACTGGGATTGTGGAGACCACGAATCTGCTCCTGATTATGTCACTGTCCTGTTTATGTGACCTTGGATACGTGATTTAACTTCTCTGTGCCACAATTTCCTCATCTGTGAAACTGGGATAATTACTACCTTCTTTTCTAAACCACATTGAGATCAATAGATGAGAAGTAGTACATAATAAGAATAATATCATTATTATCTCAGCTGCATTGAATGGATTATAATAAGTGATGAAATTAAGAGAAAACATCTCCCAGTACTGGGAGCTCTGATGCCCTCTATTGCATGCAAGCTTTCCAGAATAAGTAATAATTAAATCCAGAAATTAATCTGGGGGGGGGGTTGTTTTTTATGCTTGATGTAAGCTTCCTGTATCATGCATCTCAGCCTCTTGCTGTCGTAAGAGAACCAGAAAACGAAGCTGACCATTATTAGGGGCTGACCCAGTCAAACAGGAGCAAGTGCAAAAATAAACAGCAGGCTTGATGAAAAATTAGTATTTACTTTTAAGAAAGATTGTCTTCAGATGGCTCCAAGCCGCTGTTTAGCCTTGGTACCCAGGTATTTCTACTTCCAGTGTATCTTTTTCCTCCTGCATGAGAAATTCATGAGCAGACATGGGTCAGCAGAGGGCAGTGTGAGCTTTACTGTACAGGGGCAGCCAGTGGTCAG